GAGCGGCAGCTGTTGTTTCTGGAAATACCAGAGTTGGTGGAAGTCGAGCCCGGCTCCGGCGACTGAGAGGGTCGGCCGCGGCTCCGGGGGCGGGCCGACTTCGACGGGCAGTATTTTACTGGCCGCATACAGCATTTGGACTGCCAGCGGCAGTATCTGAGACATCCGCCGAGCGGTAGTTCAGACTGACGGAGGGCAATAATTGACTCAATGCGAGTCGCATATTCCATATTTCCAGCAGAAATATTTGACTCAGTACGGGAGGCATCTCAGACTGCGGCCTCAGGTATTAATTGCCTCACCGTTGGTACTACCATTTCAAACCGGCAATATTTGAAACGATATCTGAAACCAGCTAGTTCTTATCAGAAAATGGTATTCGAGGTACACATAGGGCAGTCGGTACTACATACTACTCACCGAATGTCGTATCTGAAGCCGCGTTCCCCACCGAGTGTAGTATGTGAAGCCGTATCCACTGTCCCATAACTCACCGCGGTCCGCCGGTAGCATGTGAAGCCGTGTTTCTGTTCACTGAGGACAGCATGTGAGGTCGCTGTACTGGACTCACCGCGGGTAGTATGTGAGGCCGCTGTACTGGACTCACCACGGGCAGTATGTGAAGCCGTGGTACTGGAGTACTGGTCTCACCGCGGGTAGTATGTGAGGCCGCTGTACTGGACTCACCGCGGGTAGTATGTGAGGCCGCTGTACTGGACCCACCGTGGGCAGTACGCGAGGCCGCTGTACTGGACTCACCGCGGGTAGTATGAGAAGTCGCTGTACTGGACTCACCGCGGGTAGTATGTGAGGCCGCTGTACTGGACTCACCGCGGGTAGTATGTGAAGCCGTGGTAGCGGATACCGCCGTCGTCCTGCGGCACCCCTCGGGAGAGGTCGGGCAGCCGGGGCACGAGCACGGACACCCGCTCAGTGCCGTTCAGCCGCTCCGTGTTCAGCGGCAGCTTGGCGCGCGGGAAACGGCGCTGCAGCGGCGCGCTAGTTGCCACCGCCCGCCGCGGGAGGGCAGCACTGCCCAGCCGGCAGGCGGCGCTGGCAGCGCCACCCAGAATCGGCCAACTCATGCTGAGTGAAGGTATGTCCTGGGAAAAGATGTGGATGAGCGAACGTCAGATCGACAAAAACACATTGCACTGACACTCATAGACGTCACAGTGCGCATATGTAGACTGTAATTTGGGTAGTGTTCACAACATCCAACGTTTGTGCAGTAGGCAGCTTCTACTCCACCGCACCAAGTAATTCAGCGTCACATGCCAGGACCAGGCGTTAGTCAGAAAAAGGAAACAAAAAGACTAAAAGACGGAAATTAATTAAGATCATTGGGTTAGTCAGATAGTACCTGTCATATGTTCTCCTCCATACTTTGCACCCGAGGGCTCCCAATGATATCGATATGTTGCACTGATTCTCGGTGCAGATAGGCCGGCAGCAGAGTGGATATTTATTCGTTATCAGACTGGACACATTACACAAGTATCGGTCAGCGGAGCAGTGGCTAAGGTCGGGCCGCAGCACGGCGCGTATTCAGGGCGGCGGGACGGCGCACCCTCGCCGGGACGGCCGCTCGGCTCCTCCCTCACAGGGACGGCCGCTCGGCTCCTCCCTCACAGGGACGGCCGCTCGGCTCCCCCCACACAAGGACTGCCGTCACTCTCAGAGGTCGCCTCTGGCCAGCGCGAACGATTCACGACTGACAATGGTAGTGGCGCTGAGCAAAACAAACGGCACTGTAAGGCGTTATCTGAACTAAAACAGAACGTCAGGCTGCTTAAACAAGAGCCAGTCTGGGCCAAAATCACTCATACGAACAATATGACAAAGAGTGCACAGTTCACAAGACTGGCTGCGAACGAACAAACCAATACAGACCAACAAACCAACGTTGAGGGATTCTGGATTTGCGGCATCATTAAACCTAAAAACGGCCGAACACAAATCAGCGAGGTCAAAGTATGCAGGCACGTACGGCTCAACTAGATACAGTTCTCTGTGCAGATAATCAGCGCGGTATGATCAGCAGGATAAGAATGCCGCAGCATGATCAGCAAACAGCCAGCACTTGGCCAAGTAGCCTTAGGCCTGTTACACTGGCGGTGCTTCGGCACATGTCGAGCGCGTCAGCCACCCCAGACCACACACACACGCCGCGATCACCGGCGCCTCTCTCCGGCTCGCTGACTGGACGGGCGTGTCACGGAAGGTCTGCGGAGGCGCTTCACGTGCCGGGGCCGGGCCGATCGGCCGGCCAGTACCTCCCTGTCCACCCGGGGGCCGCGCACTGAGGTCACCGGAGCGAGTCAGACACCGGCTGGCCTGTGAGCGGCTCTCGGTACTGGAGCTGGCCGCGCGCGGCACTGGCGGCCGAGCTCGCACGGCCGGCCGGGGCAGTGTCCGCGGGCCGGCCCCGGCCGCGCGGCGCAGAGTCCGTCCCTGCCCGGAGCGGTCAGTCGCTCACCGCGGCGCGTACAGTCGCACGTACTCGGACACCTTGCGCTCGAAGCCGTCGCGGTCGCGCGCGTAGTGGTCGGCCGCCTCGGTGTTGAGGGGATCGTCGAAGTTGAGCAGGTCGGTGAAGAGCGAGTTGAGGCCCCAGACGACGTCCTTGAGTTTGCGCGTGGGCGCCCAGCCCATGCCGTCGTAGGAGTTTTGCCGCAGCAGGCTGAGGCAGACGGCGCCGTCCTCGGCGATATTGGGGTGCCAGAGCCGCGTGCGACAGCGCACCTCGGGCGGCGACAGGTTGTACTCCTCGCCGACCGTGATGGTGAACACGAACGCGCCGCGCCGCCAGTAGCCCTCGTCGGGCCGCACCGTCAGCACCAGCTCGTGCAGCGCGTCCGGCCGCGGAAACTCCACCGAACAGGTGGCCGGCAGGTTTTCGTGCATCTCCTGCACCTCCTTGGTGAGCAGCCGGTCGCGCATGGCGGCGCGGCGGCGGCTCTCTGGCGGCGCGCCGGCCGCCGCGCTGCCGGCCGCCGCCTCGCCGCGCTTCTGCAGCAGCTTCTTGCTGAGCGAGATCATGGCGCCGCCTGCGGGCACAGGCGAGCGGTCAGGCTGGCGCGGCGCCCCGCAGGCGGCCCGTCTCCGCCCCTCTCCAGCCGCCGCCGGCTCACCACAGCGGCTCAACGGCTCAATCAACAACAGCTCATCAGCACTTCTAACGTCTTGACAGCTACTGACAATCAACCAGTTATTTCAATTCTTCACAGACTTATCAACGAATTCCAAACGGCCAGTGGACCACTCAAGATGTATTGTTCTCTGATGAGAAGAATGTCTTAGGTATCTAAATAATGTCATTTGGTTAGGATAAGTCATTGGTACTACATCGGTGCAGCACTTCTCAGTCGACAAACTTCGGTCAGCGACGATAATGTGACAATGCCAACGAACTTGAAAACTCCAGCCTTTGGCTCCACAAGCCTTGTTGCTCCAAAAAATAATTGCACATACACACCCACTAATTCGGTGCTCCATTCCTTTAAAAAGGTTGAGATGACACTCTAACAGTAGAACAGTACCTATCCAGTTAAAACATTACCTATAGAAGCACCACAGCATACCTATAGAAGCACCTCAATATATCATAATAATTTTCTATTACAGCTGTACCAAATAGGTGGATTTTTTTGACGTTTGGTGGGACCAACAATATGTACAAATAATTACCAATAATCATTAACCCGCGCGGGGCTGGGGTCTCCAGCCGAACGCGCGGGGCTGGGGGGTGTAAATTTTACCCCCCCCCCGTGTTATCTCCCGAACTAATGGTCCGATTTGGAAAATTCAAACGCCAATCGAAAGATCTCATCACGAACAACTAAAAACACGTACTTAATTTAAAGTTTGAGGTCAAGGTCAAGGTCAGGTCAAGGGTACAAATTGCAAGTTTCTACAGTATCGGCCTTACACCGTAGTTGCCGAGGAATGGAGTCATGGACTGAGACTGATTGCCCAAAACGTGTTCTTAGGCTACCAAGACAGTATTCGTTGCATACAATATCATTCAGAGGTCAAGGTCAAGGTCAGGTCAGGTCACCAAAAACAAAATATAGAAAAGGGCATGTGCGACACATGTTTTATGGGTCATTTTAATCATATAATTCAATAGGTACACTCAATAAGTGATATGGACCACCTCTTGATGAATTTCAGGTCAAGGTCAGGTCAAGGTCAGGTCAAATGAGGTCAAATTTTGAAGTTGGTTGTTAAGGCCTAAAAAGGTATCTGTCTGATGTAGTTTTTCACGGCGAATCGAATGGTGCTATTCTTGTTTCTGTACAAGGTCTAGAACTTAAAAAAACATTTTTTTTTCAAAAAATTTGTGTGTTGTGACTCGTGACATCATAAAATTTGAAATAACTCCCACATTTTTGAACCGATTCTTTAGAAAATTGATATGTAGGTGCACATAGACCACTTCTCTGACATATAATCCGCTTTTTTCGATACACGCAAAATTTTGGATTTTATTATTATTTTCCCAATAAAGTCAGTTTTTTGGAAAAATTTGAGCCAAAATCCAAAATTTTCACAAACCGAGATAGCCATTTGGTAGACAAAGTAGAATCACGTATAACCTTTTCTGTTACGTCTTGATTCTCTTAACCTTCCAGGCGGTGGGGGAGGGGTATTTTTTTGCCCCCCCCCCCTTTAGTTTTTTTCGATATATCTCGAGAACCGCTGCGCCGATCGTCACCAAACTTTCAGTACCCTCTCGGGAGCAGCTAACGCACATAGTGACCAAAAATGTTTCCAAAGGCTATGATAGGTTGGCCGCTAATGACGTCAGAGTGACGTCATTTTTGCCATATTCGACCCAAAAAAAGGTTTCGCGGGAAGAGCTGTCAGGCCTACAGCTTTAGAGATACAGAAAAATGTTTCAGACATAAAAGGTGTGGAATCAGAAGGGCTACAAAACTGCTATTTCGGTTTTTCGAATTTTTTGGATTTTGACCCCCAAAAATCAAAAAATAGATTTTTTGAATATAATAGCCAAAAAAAATCCAAAGATTTTTGAATTTCGAAAAAACCGGAATATATGTGATAGCCCCTACCGCCTTCTATCTACATACCAAATTTGAGATCGATACCTCTTTTTTTTGGCCAAGTTATAGCGAAAAAACTGTTCAAAATTGATGACGTTAAATTTTCAAACTCAATTTTTAGCAATTCTAGACCTCGTAGCGCAAAACAAAGACCACCATTAGACTCCCCGTGACGAGCTGCATCGAATCGATACCCATTTTATGCAAAAATATCAACTTTGAAATTTGACCTTTTTTGACCTGACCTCAGTGTCCCAAAATTATATTTTTGCTTGGGTGTCAGAGAGGAAAATTGCTGACCAAAAAAAAAAGATGAGTGAAAAATTGTCAGTCAGGTAAAGCCCAAAAAGAGTGGGAAAATGATCAAAAACATTCATCTATCTATAATTGTGACAGATGCAAAACAACCATTCACGCAATAGCCCCTTCTCAGTGGAATTGGGAGTGAAAAATTGGGCTTGAAAACTGGAGGTGAGAGTGGAAAATGATTTTCATTTGAATGTCGTTTCCCACCCACATCTACAAATTTTGGGACACTGCCTGACCTTGACCTGACCTCCACCAGAAAGTGACCTAAACCGTACCTGATGGTCTTATAACCAACACCATTGAGTTGGAAATGAAAAACTGGCCATAAAACATGCATCGCATAACCTTAGTAAAGTTGGGCTCATGTGGTGAACCTTGGTGACCTTTGGTGACCTGACCTGGTATGACCAGTGACCTCTAATAGCAACATATGTACTAGACAACTGACGCCTTATCGCTGATTTTCGACAAAATGCGTTTTACTCGGTGTTATAGCGCTTTCCCTAGAACCCCCGTGAACGGTGAAACATTTTATCTTTGACCTGACCTGTGACGTCATCGGTGACCCCGAGGTCAATGAAATTTGGTTTCCCTCGACAAATTTGACAGGGCTATCGAACACCGTTTGAATTTTCCGGATCCGTCCAGTAGTTTCGGAGATACGGGGGAGCAAAAAAGTGCCCCCCCCCCCCACCGCGCGAAAGGTGGCTGGTAGGCCCACCGCCTGCCGGGTTAAAAATGAAGATGCTAGCGGCGTTTGAAATTTTGCCGTTTTTGAGACGAAAATGGCGAACATGACGTCACTAAAACGTCATTTTCTAAAAAAAAATCCGAAGGATTTCGCTCAAATTTTCAGGGAACGTGTCAAATTGATGTAAGAAAAGGTACTGAAAGTTTGGCGGCGCACCCCCCCACCCCACCCCACCCCCCCCCCCCCACCCCCAGCCCCGCGCGGGTTAACTATGATTTGCCATTTGTCACCTACCGCCAGGCATTTTTCAAAATTAAATTGACTAAATCTTGATGATGGAAAGTATTGTTTTTACTTTGGTAAATCAACCCACATTTCAGTAACTTATAAAGGTAATTAAAATTACACTTTCGTTTCATCATTTTCAATTGAACATAAGCATAAAAGAAACAGCCAGTTCTTCGAGCAGTAAATAAATGTCAAATGGGTCAAGCTAAGCTAAAGCTTTTGGAGTGTCTCAAACAAACATATCCAAAAACAGAAGGCTATCCTTTCTAGACTGTTCAAAATTCCCAGCTAGCTGAAGTATGCATCTTTGATACCAAGGTACACATCATAACCTGAACCTCAGGAATTCATCACCAATATCCTTAACATAAGCAGACTTTTTCATTTTGTCAAATTCTTTATAGCTATAACAAAGGTGGATATTGCTTCTGATAGTTTTAAGCACCTATTAACTGCAATAGCACTAACACTGCAATCAAGCATTATTTGATATTTAAGTTAACCCGCGCCGGGCCGGTGCTCCGCAACTTCCGCGCCGGGCCGGGGGGGGGGGTCTGAACACCCCCGTCTAACTCGGCTCCTGGGCGACGTAGCGAAACGCAATAAGCGGCATTCGAAAGAGCGTAAAAAATAATGACGGAAATACTTCGGTCATTTTTTGGGTCCGGTCAAAGGTCAGGTCACCAGAGGTCATCAAAGGTCAAATGTAGTCCATTTCAACAATTTTGGAAACTGCCAACGGCTAACTCGGGAACCAATAGAGCTAGAGCGCCGCGGAAAAGCGCATTCCATAGCCCTTTTACAGACCTTTCTGAGCAATGTTCTCAAATTTGACCTCAGGTCAACGGTTTAGCCTTCAAAGAGCAAAAACGGTAAAAATAGCAGTTTTCATGAAAATTGTTTTTTGTCAATAGCGTTTGACTCAAGAGAGCCACGACAATGCCGACTTTTAGCAGCATCGTGCTTCTTTCGTCGCGACGCGTCGAATGCACTATTTGTTGACCTTGAAAGGTCATTTTGAAAATTTGACCTCAGGTCAAGGTCATGACCTGACCGGAAAGGGTCATGTTGCATATCAGTCGATCCGTATCGTCGAGCTGAATACATCTGACGTGTTTTCATCGCTCTAGCACGTCTTTATCCAAAGTTACAGTAAAAAAAAAAAAAAAGTTAAAAAAACAGTTACAGTTAAAAAAACTGCTGGTGACCGTTCATGACCTGAGATGACCTCAGGGGCACACAGAGGGGTCACAGGTGCATTTTTCTGATTCAGAGTGTCATGTTTACCTAGGAGCCAATGTTTAAGAGGGTTTGGACACCATTCGTCCAAAAGAGGCGCATTTCAATTTCCTCTCATTGACTTATAATGGAGAGGTCGCAAAATTGACCTGACCTTAGGTCACCGATATCAAAATTCTGAGATACACATTTTGTACATACTGTTGTCTGTTACTCTAATCAATCGCTGAAAGTTTCAAGGAGATCGCTCAGTCGGTGTAGCTATCACGAGGATTGAGTTTTTTTTCTGAGGTGAGGACACTTGACCTGACCTAGTGACCTGACCTTGAGGCCCTGGGTCTGAAATTTTCACATGTGCGGAAAAGATGCATGAAGCGCCGCCGTTTTTGAGATCTGAGAAAAACCACAGGGGGGGGGGTGTTCAAACACCTCCCCATGGCCCGGCATGGGTTAA